AAAATAAAATAAAATAAAATAAAATAAAATAAAATAAAATAAAATAAATTCGGGTACTGCTAATTTATGTTCTTTGACTTTTGGGACTCACTGGTGAATGGATTCTCCTACTTTGCCAGAGGGGAGACAACACTTGCTTTTCAGCTGGCAGTAATGAGTGAAGAGGGGTAGGAAAATGTTCTGAGAACCTTGAGTATGACAGGTGTTTACTGAATCCAGTTAAACTCACTTCTTTCTACTTATTTTTGGGGTCATTATCAAGATTGTGAATGGCAATCATTTTAATTACTTACAGCTACATAAAAAGTGTACATAATGGGCACCCCTTATGTTCCAAGGAGAGTGACAGGTGCTTTGCCTGCCACGTGATTAGCTTCCTTCTCACAAGCACTCTATGTTCAAAGTATAATCTCTATTTTGCAGTTGAGGAAAACGAGCCCTAGAAGCCTACATAATATATCTATCACACAACTGGCAGACTATGGAATTCAAATTCAAACTGTAAGTACTATACTCTGTATGTACACTGGGCTCCACTTAAAGCCAAGTCTTCAAAGCCAATGGGAGAGCCACTCACATACCTTTTGTGTTTCATCCTTTTTCTCCTGCTTGAGGATGTCAGTTAGATTGATGAGCTTTTCCATGGCCTCTACCTGTCTGTTGAGATGTTTCAGATACATCCCACAGGCACGGCAGTAGGACTCCAACAGCAGGCCAAACCTCTGACTGACAGTCTTATTGTGCATCTCAGATCTAAAGGGATAAGCAAAATTTATCTATATGTATACATAGTAATTTTTTTCTCTTATTTTATGCATATGGGTGATTGCCTGTATGTACCATGTGCATTCAGTGCCCGTAGAGGCCAGAAGACGGTGCTGGATCTCCTTGGAACTGCAGTTATAAATTGTTGTGAGCTGTCATGGGGATACTGGGAATTCAATTCAGGTCCTCTGGAAGACTGCCAGTACTCTCATCACTGAGCCATCTCTCCAGCCCTACATGTATTTTTTTTTTTTGCTTGACTGTTTAAATATCTAGATATACAAAAACTGTAATCTTCATCAAGAGGGTGTATAGAATATCAAATACATGGCTATACAAAGTGAAATTGGTTTTTATTCTAATTCAGTTACTGACCTATATCTAGTCTTAAATGAGCATATATACTTTCTCAGAAGGTAGGAAAACTCTTTTTCTGGTCCAATAAATGTTTTAATCAATAACCCAATGATTAAAAACCTACCAATTTAGAAAAAAATAATCAAGTGTTTTAGGTAGTTCTTGGCTGTGTAAATTTAATAAACAACTAGGTATTTACTGATTTAGGCTTATTTTAGCTACTTTTCATTCATTAATTTCAATGTAAGATACAAAAGATGAAAATAGGATAATAAAGTTAACTGAGAAAGGTAAAAAAGCTCACTGAGTTCTGAGTTTCCTACAAGCATGTTCACATTTTTGTGTCTATTTTAAACATAGCACTTCTAGATACCAACTTAATTAAAAATCAAATAAAAATAACACAAAAAAAAACCCCACAAAAAACAAAGCCACACTACACACAAACTCGTTTCTAAATTTCCTGTAATCTAGTTAGTTTGTGACAACTCTGAGCTGTAATACATTTCGTAAAGTAGTTTTCCTCTTTCACCCCTTCTTCATGGGGGAGCATCTCTTTATGAAGCACAGGCCAGCCTAGTAATTGTGACCCTCCTGCCTTAGCCTCCCAAAGTACTGGGACCACCTGCAAAAGCAACTTCTTTTTCCTTAGCTTATTTTCTCACAAGAAACGTGGGGCTTTGCCATTATGCTCTAAATTCCAAGAAAAGACTTTTATTTTGGGATGTCATCTATGTATACAGTAAAACCTATCACAACATTAATTTGCATCTGGCAAATTTTACTTGGCTCAAAGGAGGAGCAAAACCTTTAAAAATATTTGCACTAACGGTACAGAATTCAGTTCTGACTTACGTTGCTCATTTGATTCCAAAGAAAAGAATTATGCAACAGGCTTCCAGCATGGAGCAGCTTTCCAGACAGACACAGCAAGCACCAGGGTCCATGTACTTAGTTGGGGGGGTGGGGATTATAAACATCTAAGACACTTGACTTACTTTAAATGCCAAAAGAAAAAATGGCCAATCCTTTGATTTGTCAACGCCTTCTTGAGTAAAAATCTCACAAGCAGGTTATCCAAATACTGTTCATATTTTAAGACCTAAGGAATCAAAAGAAAAAAAGAAGATAACAAAAATTCAGGACCATTTCTGCCTTAAAGAAAAAAATTCTATATACAAAGTAGATACTGCTATTGATAATAAATGGATTTTTAAAAAATAGCATAAAACTAATGCTGCTGCTTTGATAAGCTGTATGGATGTGGAACAAAGCCCTTCCAGTTTTCTGGTCTTACCTGTACAAGCTGAATGAGGTACTGAGAAAGTTTGTCATCTGTTAGGTATTTTTCCAAGCACCGAACGGCAAAACTCCGAACCATAGGATCTGGATAATTACAGTCGAGGAGCTCCATGGCCTGCTCTGGTTTGATTGGAGGCCAATCTTTTACTAAGCAGTACATCTGTGTACAGCAGAGAATAACAGTAAATCATATGTACAAATCTAAAACACTGTTTTAACATCTGATTTTAAACGTAGTTTAAATGAATTATCTTAAAATTTTGCATTGCATTTTCAATGTAATTAGCTTTACATATGGAAATGATTATGAGTGCTCTATCTGCATGTACACCTGCATGCCAGAAGAGAGCATCAGAGCCCTGTATAGATGTTTGGGATCCCCCATGTGGTTGCTGGGAATCAAACTAAGGACTTCTGGAAGAGCAGACAGTGCTCTTAACTGCTGAGCCATCATCTCTCCAGCCTTCTTACTAATGTCATCATAATAATTTATAGCATATTTAATCCTCTAAATTGAAGAGATCTTCTAAGAGTTGATGATTTAGGCAACACACAGGTTCTACACAAAAGCTCCTAAATAATCTCACCTGGGCTACTTCATCTCTGGAATTCCACTTGACAGACAGAAGCAATTTTGGTAGGATTTCAGGAATAGTTACACAGTAATGTCTGTTGAGAAAGACAATACAGAACATGTTATGTGAAGGTCTACCACCCAATTCCCCATCATACACCTGTAGGAAATTCTAAGCTTATTATTACTTCTGGCCTATCTGAAAAGTCAAACGTGTGTTGAAGACTGTTGTTGTACATGTATCTATGCAGCTACAGTTAAAATGGCAAAGACTAAGGATTCAAATGGAGGCTAAATGTCAGTTGACAGTTAAGAACAATTTCATGTATGTTACTCTGCTCTTTAGGTACTCAAATAGTTCACCTATTTGAATTTCATGAACTTACTGGACAAGATGTCTGCTTCACAGATTCTCTAACTCCTTCAGTTAGAGACAATAGTGTAGGGAGCTGGGGAGATAGACAAAGGGAAAAGGTGTTTCCCACCAAGCTTGATGTGTGCACATAGTGGAAGGGGAGCTGACTCTTGTAGACTATCCTCTGGTCTTCACATGCACACTGTGTCACATGACCCCTCCCCCCCACAAAGTACAATGTAATAAAGAAAAAAATGCACTAGTGTCCCAAGTAGCATGATTGACAAGTAAGGATAAGGTGCTCTGCCATCAGTTTCTTCCCTCAGGGAAAAGGGAAGGGAACTTGCCAAAGACAGCATCTAAGCCAACAAAGTCATGAAGAAATGGCCTAAAGTGGGGGTGCATTCCTGCTTGAACTTCACTTTAAAAAAATCCTAAGAAAGTACATTGTCAGTCTGAGGTTACAACTCAGTGACAGAGTATGTGCTTAGCTTGCAAAAGGCTAGAGGTTAAATCTCTAACGCCAATTAAAAAAAAATGTAAAAAGCTTGGGGATGTACCTAGGTTGGCAATGTGTGTACCTAGCACACATGAGGTCCTGGGTTTCATCCCAATTTCCAGTACCTTATAAACCAGGTGTGATGACACATGCCTGAAATCCTAGTACTTAGGAGGTGGAGGCAGGTGGATCAGAAGTTCAAAGTGATCCTCATCTACAGTTCAAGGCCAGGCTGAAACCCTGCCCCAACAAAAGGGGAAAAAAACAAATAAACAAAAACAACTTTTAAATGTTTAAGTATCAACATACCATATTTTTCTAGAAAGAAATATCTGTATCCATACTTTTGAAAAAGTCAACACTAATAAGGTAAAAGCAAGATGGGACTTCTGGGCCACACCTGTAATGGCAGCACTTGGTTAGGAGGTTGAGGAAAAAGGTTTCCAGGAACAGGAGCAGCCTGCTATGCACTGAGCTCAAGCCTAACCTGGACTACAGTGAGAGACCCTACCTCCAAAACAGCAACCAAATGGTGTGCTGTACATCACTCACACAGGGTCCCCGACAGGAGTAAGGTCCCTCAGCTTTTGTATTGAAAGCCTCCCTCTCCACACTTGCCTGTGGCTCCATAGGAAGTCTTTCTCCTGTTCAGTGATTTCAGACAGTGGGTCCCGGGTGCAAAGTGCTCGGAGCTGTTCTTTGTCATTTTCTCTTAACTCATTGTCTCTGGCTAGTCTGTTACTCTGTGAAATAAAGTACAATTTTATAGAGATTTCTCTGCCACGTATTTCTCCCGAGATCCATGAGTGATATAGTTAAAAGAGCAATTGATTTTTAATAAACCTCACACGCTTATTAACTATTACAAAACAATCTAATCTTCTCACTGAACTAATTTAAAACAGTATCTGTACAACATACGCAGCTGTGTGGTTATCACCACCAAGCAGTAGAACAGTAACTCCAGCCTAGACTGGGGTGAAGGGGAAGGAAGTCAGCCTCTTCCTCTCTCTGATGAGGCCCTTCCTACCCCCTACTAACTACAGCCTGATTAATGCTTTCGGCAGAAAAGAGTGAAAAGATTAAAATAAAAATGCAAACTCTTTTATGTTCCTTGCTAAATCATCCTCATAACTGTTGGCAAGCTTTGAAATTTAAAAAGTAAATTAAGATAGATGAACTAAGTCATTAAAGCACCATGCATTTCAACATTAAGAAACTAAACAGTAACAAACTTATTATACAATCCCACGAAATAGATTTATTCTCTTTAAATAATTTGCCTCCAAGTCTTTGGCTAACAAGCACCCCTAATAATCCCAAAGAATCACCATGCAAGAACAAAACCAAACCAGAAGGCCCACAAGATGGCAAATTGACTAGACAAAGATGCTTGCTTGCTGCCAAGCCTGACAACCTCTGCTCAGTCCCTGGGGCTCAGGTGGAAGGAGAGGACCTACTCCATCAAGCTGTCTCTGACCTCCATCTGTAAGCCGGAGGTGCACATCCACTTCCCACCACTAAAAAAGAGACAATAGGTGGATCATCTCCACAGTGACTACAGAAGCTTACTAAGACATACACAAAAAAGCTCTCACATTCTAGCCTGTCGGAACATACAAACAAAAGGAGTCCTCAGTGTTAGCTGGTCTCATATATTGATGCATCCTGAACTTACACTACAGGATGAGAAGTACTATGCAGACATAATCATTCAACAGACACTTGTCATACTGTGCCCTGTTTTATTCTTGAGCACTCATTTTAGTAGCAAAGTTTTTTTTAAAAATAAGTTTAGTCTAATGAAAGAGGGTGAAAGCCAATCAGAATAGTGCCCGGTGGATAAGATGAAGGAGTCGGCAGAGGAGAAGGGTCAGCACGTAGACCCTGGCATCTCAGACCGGGAAGTGTTTTTAGTGAGAGCTACCTAGGGGATGCACGTCATGATTTGATCTGTTTCATAATGATTTTTGCAGCTGTTCCAAAGAAGAAGGGAAATCAGTTAGGAGGCAGAACATTGGTCTAGACCAGAAACGTGTTGTCTTAAATCATTACTGATTATCATCAGCATCCAATGGACTTATCTGCTTTTGTATTTTTAAAATGTTTGTTAATATGAAATAATTTATAGAAAAATCAGAAAAAAACAATTGTACTACATATTTTAAGAATCTAAGCATAATAAACTTAACGTTTTCTGTTATGTGCCTCATTTTGAAATATCTTTGTCAAACTGTAAATAACACTGTCAAAATACAACATTTGACATGATGGTTAATACTTTTGCTGAAGAAACCAAGATGGCCATTTTTCTTGATCAACAATTATAAAACATTTTCATTTTACATTTTTTTTTTTATAAATCACATGATCAGGAGTGAATTCTGCATCACCATTTTTCTGTTCATAGGCCCTACACAGTTCTGCATTTAAAAATGTAGTGAGTAGATGCTGATGCCCAGGGGTGTGATGGCCAGTTGAGATGGTCAACATGATTGGGCGGAGCAAATACTCACTGTGACTGAGAAGCTCTGGAGGGGAGAAAAGAGGGAGGAAGGCCTAGCCTGAGGTGGAAGCATCAGCTAACACACTAGGAGACCTGGACAGAATAAAGGGTAAGAAGGAAGTCTGTGTTCAGGTCTCCTTTTCCCTTTCCAGCAGCCAACACATGGAGCACCACCATGAAGCTGCTCTGCTCCATGTGCCCTCCCCACCACAAGGAACATAAAAACATGAGCTGCGGGGAGGGGGCTGGCATGGAGATGGGCTCAGCAATTTAAGAGCACTGGCTGCTCTTTCTATCAATCACAAGGTGGCTCACAACTACCTGTATTAGGATGTGATGCCCTCTTCTGTCTGATGCCCTCTTCTGTCATGTAGTCATAGATGCAGATACAACACTCATATGCATGAATAAATAATTTTTTAAAAAGATGAGCCAGAAGGGGCTGGACATAGGAGGAGAAGAGGGAGAAAGGGTGAGAGTAGGAGGGGATAGGGAGGGGACTACAGCTGGAATACAGAGTGAATAAATTGTAAATAATAAAAATAAATTAATTTAAAAAAAGGTGATTCCAAATATGTCTTTCGTTCCTTGACTTTCTGTTTTAGATTGTTTTATAAAATTATTTTTACATGTACAAATGTTTTGCCTGCATGTGTAACTGTGGACTGTGTACATGCCTGGTGCCTGTAGTGGTCATAAAAGCAATGGATCCCTAGAACTGGACAGTTGTGAGCCATGATATATAGGAATATAACATAGGTCCTCTACAAGAACAAGTGCTCTAATCTGCCAAGCCATCTCTTTGGTCCAGCTTTCCTTGTTTTTCTCAGTGTATGCTACAGTAATAAAAAGTGTTATGCATAGAACAAGAAGGAAATAGCACACGTGTGGCAGAGTTTTGTTTGTTGTTGTGTTTTTGTTTGTTTGCCTGTTTGTTTGGACACACGGTTTCTCTGTGTAGCCTTAGATGTCTTGGACTTGCTCTGTAGACCAGGCTAGCCTCAAATTCACAGAGATACACCTGCCTCTGCCTCCCTGAGGTGTGGTAGAGTGTTTGACACATAATATAGAGACTGAATCATTCCTGTTGAATTACTGACTAGACATAAATATGGACTTCACTTTATCCCTACTGAGAATGTACTATTTCACACTGCATTTACAAGACACACCTCACCATCAGAGGCTGAGCCATAGTCCTAAGGTGGGGTGACTTTCCCTTTCTTCCATGGACTTTTGGCTATTCCTGGAGACATTTTGCTTTATCAGTTTGTTGCTAATAGTTCAGAGGCCACAGATACAGCTCAGCATCCTGCCACACACAGCAAAATCTACAAACAGGATACACTTGGCATTCAGTATGCGCTAAGGCTAAGAAACTGTGTTGCCCACATTCCTATGATATGCCCAAGGAGGGAAAGTGAAAAATTCTAACTAATGTCTAAAAACACCAGGAAAAAAATATATAAAGCTGGTCCTTGCAGACTCACTGTTACTGCTGCCTGCACTTCATTACTGTGCTCTCCTCTATATCACTGTGTGCATTTAGTCTTCCTCGAGCAAGACTGAAGGAAAACAGAAAACTGCCTTGACATCTAGGAAGACTAACGTTCCAAAATGACCTTATACTTAGAAACATTTCCTATATATATCTACATGGCAAACCAAAGAGTTCTGTATAGTCTATAAAAAGAAATAAAACACAGTACAAGTCACAAAACCTCAACCCTTACAAAGCGGTACCACTGCTCCAAAAGAAAACGCTCTTCGTTTATTTTGTTTTGTTTTTACATTGTAGACATACAAGACAATTAGTTTAAACTGTCTGGCAAAATGTCTTCGGAAAGGAGCTCTTCTGCACTGCTGTCTCTACGCCTGGCCAGCCACATTTCACAGCCTCAGCCCAATATTAATCAGCGGGTCTTATATAACCTACAAGCAATCCACACGAAAAGCAGTCATTTAGAAAGGAGAAGAAAGACACCCGAGGGCAGGAACAGCTCTTAGCACCCACATTTCTGTTATTAAGAACAAAGAAGAGTAACTGGCCCTTGATCTGAGTTAGTTTGGTGCTCAAGCTACAGCCAAGATTCGACAATGAGGTGAACATCTACACTATTTCTCCAGACCTGGATTAATGCAGTGTGATGAAGAGTTGCGCTGCAGCCTCCAAGTTCACTCGTGTTTACACTTTAGTCTCAGTTCTCAGTTACTGACTTAGAGAGGTTTTTCCTGGGCCTAATCCACACTAGCTCCACCCACCTCAGTCACCTCACATGCTATTGTCCTTCCACCTCTGTGGACCTTACCATACCATGCTGTATGATCTTGGACATCTCTTTAGTCCACAACTTCACTACAGCATCTATACCAGCGTTTTATACACGGTGGCATCCAACAGGGCTTCAAATAAAGCAAGAAGAAACAGGTACAGGTTGTGCTCTACTGGAGGCCTGCTACAGAGCTAAGTAGTATCCATGCTAGGACTACCAAGCCATGCTTGTACACAGAAAAGCACGTGATCATTTCTAGAGACTACGGCTGAGATATAAGAAGCTCAGGGTGTGCCTCACCAGTCCTGTGTGAGAGTAACTGAATCCAGCTTCTCGGGACACCGACCAATTGGCATGCTCTTCAATCACAGACATGTCTGGAAACTTCACCACACTGCTGAACCAATCAAACTCCAACTCTAAGCATGGAGTTTCCTACAAGAGAGAACAAAGGTTATTGCATATATATTATGCTTAGCTGTTATAAACAAACTAATTTCTGATAATAGAAAGCTTACTTTATTTGGATTTGACCCAGTAACACCAATGGGGTTTAGCAGATCTTCTAACCCATGTGGTACAGGCCAGAGATTCAAAGCCATTTTCCCAGATACTAGGGTGTCTGTGTAGTCAAACAAGTTTATGTTTCCCCAGGCCAACGGACAGTGCTCCTTAATGAAACAAAGAAAATTTTCATGATTCTGTGAATAAATCACACATTTCCAAATACACTTCCTCCCAGGAGGAGAATTCAACAGTTGTATCTATAATCAGATGAACACAAAGTCTACTAAAGTCACACTGGCTTTTCAAAATTTAAGTGTTTTCTGTCCCTTGCCCACTTGAAACCTCATGTGTTTTCTCTGCCTTAAGAAGGACATATAGCTGGGCAGTGGTGGCACACGCCTTTAATCCTAGCTCTTGAGAGGCAGAGGCAGGCAGATCTCTGAGTTCGAGGCCAGCCTGGCCTGCAAAGCAAATCTAGGATAGCCAGGGCTCCACAGAGAAACCCTGTCTGGAAAAAACAAACAAACAAACAAACAAACAACAAGCGAAGCAGTGCAGGAATGGAGTGTGAGGACTTCTGCAGTCACCCAGCATATAGTTAATGAATCACACTGACACAGACTCAGGATGTACTTATTCATCAGAAGTGGATTTCTCAAGCACTCCCAATGTACTTTTAAAGGATAAACTAATTATCTTCCAAAGCTTTAATCAATTTATACTTTACTTAAATAAAGAAAAAATAGCCAGCATGGTGGCACATGCTTGCCATCCATACTTGAGAAGGACAATTCTGTGTTCAAGGGAACTCAGGGTTACATACACAGCAGGACTAGTCTAAAACAAAAGAGAAAATAAAGATCTTCTCATTTTGAAGGAAAGTCAGGATTTTTGGAGGCAGCACAGTTGGTTATTTAATCTGAGAGACATTACCTCCTTAGCACCCTTGCGGCCTTTAACAGAACAAATGGAAAGGCAAAGGCGAGCAGCTCGAGGAAGATCAGGAATGTATATGTCATAATTCAGCCATTCATTCCACCTGCAGAAAATTGACAAAACAAAGCTTTATGCCAAGAGTGCACATGGCTCCACAATGCATCAACTCTAAAACAAGGCAAATGACAATCAAAAGGAAGTCACATTACAGAACTGTACTAAAATGGCCAAGAGTTGGGTGTGGCCACACCTTTATCCCAGCACTCAGGAGCCAAAGGCAGGCTGAGTCTGAAGCCAGCTTGGCCTACAAAGCAAGGTCCAGGTCAGCAGAGCTACATAATGAGACCCTGTCTCAAAGAGCTGAAGTGGGCATGGGAGTGGTGTCTGAATCAGTATTCCTGGTCATACAGAGTATGGAAAAAACGCAAACCTCATGGATGAATGTCTAAAAGTCAAAGGACAGGTGGCAAGGAATGCCATAACAGGAAACCTTGTGCACTAGGACTAAGTACATCATTTGTTACAACCAAACAGGAAAGCCCTGGAAAATGAACAGATGCATACCTTATGACCCAGCTCTACCATGAACAAAACACAACAATGTGTTATCTACAGACTGCTAATTGAACTATTCACAGTATCCTCCAAATGCAAAAAACTCAAATCCAACATGAAATAAACTTGCAGAAGCCAGGATCTTGTTCCCTACACGCAGGGGAAGTTAGGAGACTGGGAATGGGCACAAGGGGGCCATCTTTTCTATTTTTACTTTATAATTGTCTGTATAACGTGCTTGTGCATGTATGTGTGTGTGCACATGTGCATGTGTGCCTCTGTGTGTGTGTGTGAGAGAGAGAGAGAGAGTCAGTTCTGCCTTCTACTTTATGGCAGGGTGTCTCCCATTTCTGCCACTGTGCTGTGTCCTCTAAGATACTAGCTCACAATCTTCTGTCTGTACCTCCAATGTCTCCACTGTAGACGTGTCATCATTGTTATTTAGGGCAGGGTCTCATATACTCCAGGCTGGCCTGGAACTTGCTGTGTTCAATGGTAACTTTACACATTTGGTCATCCTACTTCCCCTTCCGGGTGCTGGGATTACAGAACTGTACGACACCTGAGTTTATCAGTACTAGGGATCAAACCTTAGGGATTCAGCATTCTCGGTAAACATTCCGCCAACTAAGATATTCCGACCCCTGCATCCAGCTTTTTGTTTTATTTTTTTGAGGCAGGGTTTCTCTGTATAGCCTTGGCTGTCCTGGATTTGCTTGTCCTGGACCACGCTGGGCTCAAACTCACAGAGATCCACCTGCCTCTGTCTCCTGAGTGCTGGGATTACAGGGGTAGAACACTGTGCCCGGCATCCAACTTTTTAACTAAGTTTCAGAAATCAAAATCAGTCAAGAGCTGGAGAGATGACTTAGTGGTTAAGAACAATGGCTGCTCTTCCAAAGGACCCATGTTCACATCCAAGCACCCAAACTGCAGTCACTTCATAACTGTCTGTAATTCTAGTTTCAGGGAATCTAAGATCATTATACAGACATACCTGGATGCAGAGAAGACCAATGTGAATAAAATTAAAAAAAAAAAAAAAAAGCTTCTCCTAAATGATGTTCTTTAAACAAAATTGGTCAGGTTATCAGACTTTCACAGTCAGCACTTTTACTCACTGAGCCATCTTCCCAGGCCAGAAGCTTTTTGGGTGCTGGTACATGTTCCAATTTTGTGATCAAACTGATGCGTTATAAACTTATAATCACTGCACTCTGTGTGTGGTGCATGTATACACGCACACCCACTACGCCTATGCATCATGTGCACGTGGAAGCCGAAGGTTGAGGCTGGCTGTCTTCCTCATTCAATTCCTTGCCTTTTTTTTTTTTTGGAGACAGGGTCTCTCATTGACCCTGGAGCTCCCTGTTTGGCTTGATTTGCTGGACCAATGAGACTCTAAGATCTATCTGTCTCTGCCTCTTCTAGTGCTGTAATTTTAAACACGCACCATCTCACCCAGACTTTTATGTCGGTACTGTGGATCTGACTTCAGGTCACCACGCTTAAAAGAGCAAACCTCTCCCTACCCTCATGAAATGTACACTTTTATGCATATGTTATAATTCACTAAGCAAACAAAACACAATGTCATCTATTAAAAAATATCCAAACAAGCTAGGCAGTGGTAGCACACACCTGTACTCCCAGCACTCAGGGAGGCAGAGACAGGCGGATCTCTGTGAGTTTGAGGCCATCCTGGTCTACAAAGTGAATCCAGGACAGCCAAAGCTGTACAGAGAAATCCTGTCTCGAAAAACCAACATTCCCCCCCCCCCCGAAAAAAAAAAAGCAAAAGCAAAAGCAAAACCAGACAAACAGGAAAGGAAACTAGCTGATGAGAATTAGAAAAAGAATGTTATATTTACTTTTATATATAATCAGCTTCTTTCAGAATAACTCCCTTATCTAAATAAGCCAGTATGCAAGTAAAATGAAAGATATACACAGGGCTGGGAGATGGTCCTGCCAGTACAGAAAGCACAGAAAGATGGTCCTGAAAGCACAGATACTTGAGTTCGACTCTTAAGATGTGTGCAAAATGCTAGGTGTGGTGATGTGCACTTGCAATCTCAGCACCAGGGAGGCAAAGACAGTGGATCCCTGGGCCTTGCTGGTCAGCCCACTAACCTACTTGAGAAGTTATAGGTCAAGGAATGTATCTAGGAAATGGTAGAGGGCCTCTAGAGAATGAAACACAGGGTTGTAGTCTTTGCCTCCATAAGTCAGTGTGTGAGCAATCCCTACCCCCCAAAGATAAAGTACTTTAAATTTTATCTTTGGGAACACAGTCTTACTCTAGCCCAGGCTGGACTGGAACTTACAGCAGTCTTCCTGTCTCAACCTCCTGAATGTAGTGATTATAAGCACAAATCAACACACCTGACTTAGTGTTTCAGTTTTAAAATAATTACTCACAAGAGGAAACATACCCACTTTCAAAATGAGAGAATTAAAACCTACTACAAAAGTTACAAGATAAAAAGTACTCAAAATTGTAAGATAATTCCTCTCCATTTACTGAGTGTCACATATGGAACTTGGTCAACATATAAATAAAAAGTTATGCACAATAAGTAGCTTTCTAAAGCAAAATCACATAAAACACTGTGTATGCTGAGCATGGTGGCTCACACTGTGATCCCAGCACTTGGGAGGTAGGAGGTGGCAGAGGAAGACAGATCTCTGTGGGAGGTCCAGGCTAGCCAGGGCTGTCTCAACAAAACAAACAAATAAAAAACACTGTTGATGGCCCGTGAGATATTGAGACTTACTACCAAGTCTGACAATCTTAGTTTGATTCCCAGGACCAGCATACTGAAAGGGGAGAGCAGCCCCATGAAAATTCTGCTGACTGAGCTGTATGTTGTGCCACTTGAATGGTATTTACCCATACCTTCTGCATAAACACAAATAAATATACCTTTTTATTTACAGATTTATCTACTTATTTATTTTGTTCTTCTGAGACATGGCCTCACAATGTAGGTGCGTGCCATGCAGACCAGGCTGTCCTTGAACTCAGAGATCTACCTGCTTCTGCCTCCTAAGTGCTGAATTTAAAAATGTCTGCTACCAAGCCTGACTGAAGATTTATTTTAACGGGTGCACGTGCGTGTAGCGCAAGCACACCTGAGTGTAGGTGAGTTAGGGCAGTTGTAAGCCCCCCAGTATGTCTGCATGAAACCAAATCTCTGCCAGAGTCGTAAGGGCTCTTAACCACTGACCACCCCACCCAGACCCCACATAAGTAAGTATAACAAATACTTTTAAAGAAAGACTACCCCTTCCAAAAGACAAGCCAACAAACAAACACCCCACAAAATACTCTAACAACTCTGGGTGTACATAGCATCCAGATCCAGGAGTCAGATTGCCTGACAGAGAGCCCATGTGACCTGTGATAGTTTGGCTTTTGTTCCAAATGGGACTTATATTCCTACCCTGGAAGGTGAACTGATATAACCTAAGGGATGGGCTACAATAGCACCACTGCTGGTGGCAAAAGTTCCAGTCCTGGGTATGACAAACTGGAAACCCCTCAACAACATTTCTTCATAAATCTGGCCTATTCTTGAGTTAGAAATAAAGTCAGTCAACCTACAGAGTTTCAGGACAAAGCACTTGCCTGAAACTTAATATATAGTTCACTGAGACTGGCCTTAAACTCATGGTCCTCCCCTCCTACCGCAGCTTCTTGAGTACTTGGATTAAGGTGTATTCTACCACACTGGGCTTTGAGAATCCTATTTTTAATCAACCAATTTAAGGCACAATTTTTACCAATAAAGTATATTACTTTATTCTGGTATATCTGCAAATTTGAACAAAGAATACAGAAATGTCAACCATTTATATAAAGATGAGCTACATTTAAAATGGGAGAAATTGTCAACAATTATAAAGGCAAAAGAAACAAAACACTAGTGAAGAAATGCTGAAAGAATACAGGCTGTAGTAGGGCCACAGCAATTCAGGAGAAAATGAAGACACTTGACTTATATTCACTCAAGACTTATTAGTTTGAAATTTCTCAAACTGTACATAAATGAATGGGAAGTACTCTTCCCATTCTCTCAGAGAATTTTGTCCTCTAGGTCTAGTGGAACTAGTACATTCCTTTCTCTAATGTCCATTACAACACATACCAAGTTATTCATCCATCCATCCATCCATCTATGTTTTTGGTTTTTTTTTTTTTTGAGACAGGGTTTTTGTGTATAAAAGAGCCTTCCTTGGCTGTCCTGGACTCACCCTGCAGATCAGGCTGCCCCTGGACTCACAGAGATCCACTCTCTGCCTCCGTGAGTGTTGGGATTATAGGCACGTGCCACCAGGTCTGGCTCAGGTTATTTATTTTTCAAAGACTTATTTATTTATGTATGTGCATATGCTTATGTGAGCATTATTTGCATATGCATGTATGAATGGATGTGGAGGCCAAAAGTGGGTGTTGTTCTCCATCAATTTCTGCCCGCTCCTTTGAAGCAGTCTCTTCCTGAACCTAGAGGTTTTGTTTACTCAGGTAGGCTGGCAGCTAGGAAGCTTCAGCAATCCTGTGTTCCCCTCCCTTGGAAGCACAATTACAGACATGCATGGGATGCCCAGCTTGCTATTCAAGTGCTGAGATCTGAATTCTTGATCTCATGATAGTACAGCAAGTTCTTAACCGAGCTAGAGAGATGGCTCAGCAGTTAAGATCACCGCTGCTATAGGAGAGGACCCAGGTTTAATTACCAGCATCCGCATGGCAGCTCACAACTCTAACTCTGTTTCCTGGAGAATCTGATGCCCTTTTCTGGCTCTCTTGACACTTGGCATGCATATATACACATATAAATAAACACCTATACACATAACTTCTTTTAAAGAACTTAATCACTGAGATGTCTCTCTAGTCTCCCCCCATGTTATTTTCAAAATATTTAAATATAGTTCAAATTTGCTATTTTTAAGAAATGACTAATATATGCAGTAGAATCATAAAATATCAAATTCACCTGGCAACTGAGAATAACAAATATGGAACCAACAATCAGTAAAAGTCTTCTTTCTTGCCTTTTGAATATTTTATTATATTTATTGTGTGTGTGTGTGTGTGAGTGTGTGTGTGCGCGCGCACATGTGCATGATGCATGTCCAAGATCACACAGCATGGTATGATAAGGGCCATGGAGGTGGGCCAGGGACTCATCAGGCTGTTGGGCGTGATGGCAAACACCCTTACCTGCTGGGACACCCAGCTCACCTTTCAGGAGTTTTCAAAGTCTGGTACGTGGTGGCGAATGCCTTTAATCCCAGCACTAGGAGGCAGAAGACCTCTGTACATTCAAGGTCAGTAAAGGCTACTCAGAGAGACCTCAAAAATGAAATAATTAATTTTTAAAAATAGGGCTGGGGAGATAGCTCAGCTGTTAAGAGCAATTGTTGCTCTTCCAGGACTCAGTTCCCAGCAACCACAAGGCAGCGACGTACAACCACCTTTAACTCCAGTCCCAGCAGAACAGAGTCCCACCTCTGACCTCCAAGGGCACTGCACATACGTACGGTCAGGCAAACACACAAAAAAATTAAATACATAAAATCTCAACATTTTCCAAGTCTACTCTCTTATCTTTTTAATAATTTCATGTTTATGATTTTTATTTTTATAAATGCAGAATTAAAGAATTTGCTAACATTTTCATATTACTACCACAGGGATTTAGCCTCTACTTAAAAAAAGAATTCTTTTTTAAAAACATATATTTTAATTATTTTAATTTTTATGATGTAATAAAATTATTTCATAAAACATAATGGTATATAATTATATAAACATTATATCTACATATACATATCTGCATGTGAGTGCAGATGCTTACAGTGGCCCCTGACACTAGAGTTCTAGGTGGTTATTAACCGCCCAATGTGAATGCTAGAAACTGAATTTGGAACCTCAGGAAGAGTAGTACTGCTGAGCCTTCTCTCCAGCCCTAACCAGAAATTTGTGAGGTAAAGATTAAACACAAGAATTTTATAACTTGTTTGTTCAGTTATAAAACAGTTATAACTTGTTTGTTCATGTAGCCCAGGCTGGCTTTGAGGTACTCTGGAGGTGGAGATGAAGCTGAACTCCTGATCCTACTTCCCCCAGCTCAAAAAAGTGGGAAAAACCTCCATGCACCCTTAACCACAACTGGCTTAATAAATTATTACTTTAATTTTCTAAAATGTCAACATTGAAGCCAACTACCATGAAATCTTCCTTCTCACTTTTCAAAAGTCTTACTCTTGGTTCTGAAACAATGAGGACAGATTATTTTGGGGCCTCTGCTTAGGGCTCCTGGAATTCTTTGGATTGGTGGGTTTACATATTTTTACCAATTTAGAAAAAGACTGTCCACAATTTCCTCAAAAATAGCGTCTTCTTGTTCGTTTGTTTTAGATGTCCTACAATCAGCCCACCTACTTCTCTAGCAAGCAAGAAGTATGAGTGTGTTAACGAATATCTGTTGTCATGTGTACCATCTAACCTCAACGATGCACTGACCTAGTGGCTCAGTTAAGGTGACACCTGCCTCCCCTCACCCTGCCAGACAAATGACCATCGCCCCGAACTTGTCCTAGGCTCTACGAGAGACATCAACTCTGGAAATATAATGAAGAAACTGTCAGAACTCAGTATAATTTCCTTGTAAGATTCCTTCCGAGGTCTCACTGCAGTTCTACTGCATTCTGTAAAGTCCACCTTCAATCAAGCAGTTGAGTCTCACCCTCAAATATCTCTCACAAAAAAGACCTGCTTTTCCACAGTAAACTGTCTTTTCTCAAAGACCCTTTAACTAAATTCCTCCGTGTCTGTTCTTGGAAGCCATTTGAAGGAGTTTAGGTTTTAAATCACTCATCAAAAACAAGACTTTGACCCTGTTCTGTTCAATCCTTCAAAGAATGCCAAAAGTAAAGCACAAAAACCTTAAGGATAAAATCTGAGAGAGCAGTCACAGAAACTCCTTATGTTCTGTATGTAAATAACGGAAATGCAGACAACCTCTATAAAACTAATGACATGAAACATGTCCAAACACTCTCTCACCTAGGATTGGAGCAAGGGACTCTTTGAGTGTTCACATTGTCACATAAGGGTTCTCCTCCATGGTAGATACCTGTTCGAACATAGATCTAAAAGAAAGAAAGGAAAATGTACACTCCAGCACATGTATATACATATGTATACCATGTATACACTTACACATATACTTATCTATATAGGCATATGAATGCTCAACAGAACCGAGCATTACAAAATGTTCTAACTGATATAAATCATGGCATGTTTTATTCATATGGTTTCTTTGTACAGATGTACAATTCCTGTTGCCTTCATCCACTAATGATGGGGTCTCTGACCACTAGCAAGTTAACGCAGCCACAAGCCTGCGGCACTATGCATGAAATAGAGGCCTTCACTTTCCCAAGATACGCTGGGGACAGGTATTACTTCAAATCTCTGAAGCTAGAGGAACAGTTCACCAGCACATTAATAGGACAACACTCTTACATAAAGGATTAAAGAATAAAGAAAGATCCACTTTAGGCCCGATCACTGTTTTTAACTAAACATACTCTACAAAACTTTTGAATTTATGAGTATTAGAATTATAGACAGAACTATAGCTATGTGAAAGCTGAGGTGTAACTCAAACAGAATTCACGACTTGTTTTCTGGGATTTGTGCTTTTCTAGTCATCTGAAAAACTACCACAGGTCAACAGATTATATTGTACTCAAAAAAGGCTAATAAAAAATGACTTACATAGAGTAAGCACCAGCATTTGACCTTACCTTATCAATGTCTCGAATATTTACATTTACATAGGTTGCACAAAGAATTTTGATTCTGAGCGCACTATTTATAACCCAGAGAGACTTGGTAGAGGTCTCTCCATTCATATAGGGTGTAGCTGTGGAGATGCGCCTGGAGTACGATGGCATCGTGAAGCTATCCATCGGCAGCTGAGAATACAGGCTTTCCTTGGCCATCAACATCAAGTTGGGCATCCTCCCCAGCATTATACAGCTTCTTATGTACTGAAAGAGATCACAGACGGAGAAAATAAGCCATTTCCCATAAGGTTTTCATTCCAAAGATAACATGTAGGAATATTATGAGCATTTACACACTGAGTGACAAGGGTGATTTTTAAATTAAACAGACTACCTTTGTTAGTAGCTGTTTATTCATAATATAGTTAGAATCTCTGAATATATTGATAGAAAATAAAAAATTACAGTCAACTTTGCCAATATCATTTTACCCTTAATAACAAAACACTAAAAAAGATCAGAAGCAATCACTGTAAGAGTACAGCAACTTCTTTTTGGTAAGCCTGACAGTCCATGTCATACCTCATAATGAAGCCCTTCTCAGGAACAAAGCTCACCCTATGCCCTCCAGGCAATTTCTGAGAAACATTTATTTACTGAAACAATAAAGCCCCATAAATAAGATGTTATGGTCACCTATACTGGCAATCCTACAACGTAGAAGATGAGGGTTCAAGGTCATTCTTAGCTACATGGCCAGTTGACCATATCACGAATAAACAAAATCCCAAACAATAACAATAATAAGTAAACAAGACACAAAATAATGGAGATATTAAAAACTGTTAAAATGGACAGATCTGAATTTTGAAACTGTGAGATGTGTGAGCACAGAGTTCAGTCAGGCCTCTTCCTCAATCACTGTCCACTTTATTGCAAGTGAGTAATTTCCTGTACATGGAGTTCACCAAGGCCCAGGCTGGCTGGCCAGTGAACTTCGGGGATCCTCCTGGCTCTGCCTTCTTAGTGCTGGGAAGTCAGGCATAGGTTGCCAAGCTGGGCTTTTATTAAGTGCTAGGGGTCTAAGCACAGGGCCCCCTGACAAATGTACGCCAAAGCACTTTACCAACTTGTCTGTCTCCCCAGGCCCAAGAGAGAGATTTTTAAAAATTGTATTTATGTACTTGTATACATATGTACTTATGTACCTGTCTCAGAGCATGCATAAAGCTCAGAGCAAGTTGCCTCTCTCTTCCCATTGTATGGGTGCCTGGGATTAAATTCAGGTCTTTAAGCTTGGTAGCAAATGCCTTTATGCACTGAGCTCTCTTACTAACCCCCAGAATACAGATTTTTAGTCTATGCTCTTCTCTGCACTTCATAACTCCCTACTTTCCCACTTAACAACAACTGAAAGCCAGTGTCTATAATATTTAACAGGTGTGTGCATGCTACTATTGCTTCTCACAGGGATTTACTCAGTGAACACAGAGAGGAGAAGGTGAGCAGTAATCTTAATAAACTAAGATTCTATTTTAATATTGTTCCCACATCACTGCTGGGGAGCAGGTAAGTCATGATATATTCCCTGCTATATCTTCAAACTTGTCAAATAATTACCTTATTTAAACATAAACTTAAATAGAAGGGGAGCTGGTTGAAAGCAAAGGGATCAGTGGGAGCAGGAAAATTCATTCATCCCAATGAAAGTGAATATGATCAAAAGACATTGTATGTATGTTATAAATGACCACTGGAGGATATAGCTCAGGAGTAGACTTGGCTGACATTCACTATTAATATTAAGCAAAATTCAAATATGCTAATAAAATAAGCTTACAAATGCTGTTTCCTAATATTATCCATTAATCATCAAAAATCTGTGCTAATAACATATGCAGCCTTGGTGTGGGAACACCTTGCTTACCTTGTACTGACTCAGAGGATATTTTTCTAGGAAGTACTCGTCACAGCCACACACTTTCAGAATATACTTGCCCTGGTACTCTAAGACACAGAGTTTCAGCTGCTCAGAAGACAGCAGCATGCTCCGAGTCTTCTTCCTGATGGCTTCAGCAATGACTTGCTCTGGCACACAGTCATGGTTGATCTTCAGAGTGTACTTTTGCTTGTCATTGTTTGGAGAGACTATTACCCAAATCACCACTATGATTTGTCCTGGAATAAGAAAACACTGTCAGATGCATCACTGTGTCTATTTCATTTCTCTGAAGATAAGTTTCAAAAAGTTTTCACGATCTGCGTCTCTAACCACAAAAAGATGTCTAGTTAACCTGACTAAACAGAGGTAAAGATCTGACAGAAACTGGCAATGTTCACATCTGACACTTTCATCTGGCTCCTTTTCATTGGGCTAGTGGATCACAAGGACCCAAGGCTGAGCTCACCTGTCCTTTAAACTGCAAGCTACACTTCAAAAGAGTGACTCGAGAGGGCTTCAAAGGTCTAGTAGTTCCTAAGTGTGGAACTACTTAAAGAAAAGAGAGCCCCTTCCTTAGAATGAAGCAAAGATGAGAGGAAGAATCAGGATAAGCAGGGAAAGGGAAAACAAATCTTTAATTTTTGTCCTATTAAGATCAATTAATCAGTGTGTCGACACTGAGAGTCTGCCAGATGTTGAACATTGCCTGTTTCCACCAGATCCTCACCTCTAGTTTAGTTAGTTTAACTAGATGTCATTTATGGCTATGGTTAAGGAAAGAGTGAAAATTCTTGAAACTTGTCTTTAGAAAAGTGACAGACACATTGATGCACTTAACAGTGTTTTAATAGTCCTTTAAAATGTTTGTATTTGTGTTTATTGTTATGAACTCCTTTCTTTTTTTGGTAGTGCTGGAGATCAAACCCACAGCCTTGTACATGTAAGGCAAGTGCTGTAGACAATATCTCCTTCTGTTTTAATTTGAGAGAGAGAGAGAGGACCAGCTCTAATTCTGTTAGCAGTCTATGCCACAGTGAACTCTAAACTCAATTCTTCAGCTTTAGGGAGAGGAGATGCATGCTTTCCATCCACACGCTTTCACTCAGCACTCAATTCTCATGCTGTAGCAGTCCTTGCCTTCACGCTCACCAGCCAGCCAGCAAAAAGCAGATGTGCAGAAAACATCGGCAGGTAACAGACATCACCGCAGCAGCTGGCTCCTTACCTTTATCTAACTTGTTGTAGATGTGCTTTGGCAGTTCTGGGGAAGACTCGACGTTTGGAGGGTAGACATACATTGCTCTGCTGTGGGGTGAGTTGAGGTCCCGCAGGTCCACGGCTTCTTTGCAAACATTCAGAATGTTCCTTCGGAAGTCCTGGACTTCTGGATCTTTAACCATATCAAATTCACACACTGGCATGCCAATAACAAAACCTAAAAAAATAAGATGTTTATGAAGAAAACAGGGCAGATACGGTTCTTACAGAGAACTATACACATTTGGAAAAGCAGAAGAGTCAAGATGTTTCTATGAACTAAAAAAAAAAAATCTTTGATGAATCAATTTCTAAGAGTTCACCCAAGCTGGTGTGATGGTGTAATTCCAGCAGAGGCAGGAGGATCTGGTCTACAAAGCGAATTCCAGGACAGCCAGGGCTAAACAGAGAAACCCTATCTTGAAAAACAAAACAGAACAAAAGTTGATGAAGCTTTAAGCATTTTAAATATATTATATGCATCATCCCCACATCAACTTTTTTAGAGTAATAAAACTTGGCTATCCCAAATCTAAGTCCTCCTACTAATTGTATTTCTTAAGGAAAACCCTATAGTTTTATCAAAGTACTACAAAGTTCTAGAGCTCAGAAGAAAATTAAAAAAAAAAAAAAAAACTTTAGATTTTTTTCAAAGAAAACTACTTAAAGATTACAAAGATATTAATTCCAACAAAGTATCTTAATAATGAAACAAAGCGTAGACATCATAGTTATTTGCAGCTTAGTAAAGTTAAAGTCAATTATCATACCAATTTCTCGATTGAGGATCTTTTCTTCACGGTTGCCTACTGGTTCAATTACTTTTAAAAAGGGTTGAAAAAGCCGAAGGTCACAAAGCCGTCTTGTTTCATCAAAAAATTCTTCCCTTTCTGCTTCTTGGGTAACACTTACGAAAATGTAAGAAGATTCATCTTGCAGAAGCTGATGGAGTGGGTATTTCCTGGCTTCTTTAAACAATTCATGTTTGATGGTGATTAGTGTAGCCTCACGGAGGCATTCTAAAGTCACTATCATTCCATTAGGGAGTAAACATTCCACTAGGATTCTTGGGGGCATCAAGTGGATGCCCCACAGTTCACCTGAAGATGGTCGTGGAGGCATTTTCTGATCCTCTGCAAACTTTACATAGAAAACCACTTTATGAAATCAGAAATATGGCTGTCCCCAAACAGTGCCCTAAACAAGATAAGAAAACCACATGTTAGAGAGAAGCAATTCCTGATCACACACTGACAGTGATGACAGGACCACAAAGGGTAAATGCTCACTTCCTGTTTTCCGAATGATCAGAGCAATAGTAACTTAAGTGTTTTAATTTAGACTAGGCTATAAAGAACTTATTACAGAGGATACTAGAAACACAACATGCATTTAATTAGACTTAATGAAAATTTAAAGATATTGAATAAATTTCCTAAGCTGGGTCTCATAAATACAAAGGCAATGAAAAAAACTGAAAAAAAAGCTGTAATTCAACCAAAAATTCCCATTCACCAGGCTTGGTGGTGTTAGCTTACAATCTCAGCTCCTTTGGCTGAGGCAGGAGGATTGCAGGTTCAAGGCTTGCCTGGAAATGTTAGCAAGACTGTCTCAAGAACAAGCAACATCAACAGGGCAAGACCAACAGATTAGGGACACGGTGGAGTAGCAGAGTACTTGCCAGGCATATACAAAGACTGGGTTCTGTCACTTTTATTATTCTCCATCATTTTATGATGCACCAGACATAGCAGATCTCTTAGGTACAGGTCATTACTAATTTTAAGTGTAAACACAGCTCAGAAAAATCCAAATATTCTTCCCTCTTTATTTTCCCCCAGCATATACAATAATGTAAAAGTCAACGGTATAGTCTTTCCATCTTGACCTTTGTAATTTCCCTTAAATATTATTTATTATCTTAAATTATGTATCTGTGTCATATGTGCATGTGAGTCTAGGTGCTTATAGAGGACAGAGGTGACTTATCTCCCTTAAGCTGGAGTTACAGATACCCAAGTAGTTGTGAGCCACCTCACACCTAGAAATCAAATTCTGGTCCACTGGAAGAGCGGTATGTGTTCTTAGCTGAAAAGCCATTTCTCCAGGCCCCCTGTAATTTCCTTTTGCTTGGTGGTGGAATGGTCTGTCTGATATTTTTAGGCCACTTTGGGGTTTTGTGCTGTGAAAAAAGGCCTAAGATAGTGCAAGCTGGTCTTGACTTCTCAGTATATCGAGACTAGCCTTCCTCGATGCTCTGACGCTTCTACCTCACCTTCCTGCTGGCCGGGCTATGGCTGTGACACAATGCCTGCCTTCTACTCTGGTTTTAAAGGATCTTATTTCTGCGTGTGCATATGTACCTGCAGAGGCCAGAGGAAAGGGTCAGATTCACATAGGTACAGCTCAAGTTATAGATGGTCATGAACTGCCTGATGGGGGTGCTAGGAAGTGAAGTCTGGTTCTCTGTAAGAGCAAGTATTTTTAACCAAAAAGCCACCTCTCTGGCTCTCTTCTTCCTTTTCTTTTTCTTTCTCTGTTTTTTTTTTTTTTTGGTTTGGTTTGATTTCGGTTTTTCAGGACAAGGTTTCTCTGTAGCCCTGGCTGTCCTAGAACTTACTCTGTAGATTAGGCTGACCTCTAACTCAGAGATCTGCCTGCCTCTTCCTCCCAAGTGCTGGGATTAAAGGCCTGTACCATTCCTCTCTCCCAACTTGTTTTTTAAGGCATGATTTAACTATAATATCACATAACAAAATGCCATCAATGATTTTCCTTGAGCATGATGATTAATCTGTACTAAGTCTTACTATTCCTGAGATGTATTATTTTATATGCGGAGGGACCTATGACTCTCTGTGTCTGCACAATGTTTCCTTTACTTCTGATTACGCACTTAAAATATTTTAAAAACTATTAAGCATTATTAGCATTTGAAAAACTCTCAGTTTTAGATGATAACAGTCTTGGAGGTTTATTGGAAGATGCATTAAAGCCTTTAAAACACACAAGCTTAGAGCTGTCGGGATAGCTCAGCGGGTAAAAGTGTTTGCCATGAAAACCTCATGATCTGCGTTCAATGCCTGGATCCCACAGGAGAACCAACTCCCCAGAGCCGTCCTCTGACCACATCTGTGCCATATAACAGTGCTCACCCCAAACACACACAAAACCCTTTCAAGTCTTCTCTTAAAGAGAAGTTAACTCCCTGCTGTTTACAGGTTTTTCTTTCATCCAGTAAGTGAAAACTGGAAGGTCAAGAACCACAAAGTAAGGCTGGAGATGCACAGTGAGAAAGACAGAGAGGGGCTGGAGAAACGGCTCGGCAATTACAACACATGCTGTTCTTGCAGAGGCCCCTACCTAGGTTCAGTTTCTAGCCCTTAGAGGCTCACAATCATCTAAAATTCCAGTTCCAAGGGAACCAACTCCTCCTCTGGCCTCCAAGCGCACTAGGCATGTACATGGTGTGCAGACATACTTTCAGTTGAAGTATTCATACACATGAAATAAAAATGAAAAAGTAAAGCTGTACAAATGAACAGGGAAGGGCCCAGACATCCTGCTGTGTGGTCACTCTATCATATGGCACATGACACTGCACACAGTGGCTACAGGTAACACTGTGGGGTACGGTACTGCCCCAGGACCATGTTGGGTACTTGGTAGGTGTCTTAGTTAAGAGTTTTACTGCTCTGAAAAGACACTATGACCACAGCAGTTCTTATTAAAGAAAATATTTAATTGGAGCTGGCTTACAGTTCAGATGTTAAGCCCATTATCATCATGGCAGGAAGCATGGTGTCATGACAGTAGACCAGTGCTGGAGAGGTTGCTGAGAGTTCTACACCTGGATCAGCAGGCAGCAGAAAGAGAGTGACACTGGGGCCTGGTTGAGCATTTGAAATCTCTAAGAACACCCCAACACCACACATTCTCCATCAAGGCCACACCTACTCCACAAGGCCACATTTCCTAACAGTGCCACTCAATAAATCCCCGGGATCTGCCAGTTATCTCCTCTTCTTCAGAATGTACCAGCATGTATAGTTTATTGTGGCTATAGTACTCAAACTCAGGTTCTCATGTCTGTGGGGAAAGCCAGCACACTTACTACTCAATTGTTTATCTAGTCCACGTATTTCCTGTATTTTAAAGAAAAATTCACTGCCTCGTAAAATGACCAGATAATTTAAATCCATGTGCACAATTACTAGTGTGACTTAAATGAAGGTTTTAAATATACATTTAACTCCTCCCTCAAAAGAAATGCCAAATGTGTACTGACTTTCTGCAATAATAAAAAAGTTTAAGTACAACTGGGCCATGGTAGCATACACCTGTGATCCCAGCACTGTGGGAGACAGAGGAAGGCAGATCGCTATTAGTTCGAGGCCAGCCTGATCTACAAAGTGAGTTCCAGAACAGCCAGAGCTACACAGAAAAACCCTGTCTCAAAAAACAAACAAAAAATTCAAATACAAATCAAACCAAACCAAACCAAGGGCCCCAGTAAAACAGCAGCTCTGTTTACTGTTTTGTTTGCTAAAGAATGGTGCTACAACATCTACATCACAGAACCACTGAAGCATCTATTTTATACAATAACCCAGAATCTCAATTGTTCTCTAGGATAAAAGAGAAGACTAACAGAGTGGACAGTTATTGATTTTATGGCTTACTGTACAATGGTATCATTATAGGTAACAAACTTTTCACGTCTGTTCATGGATAAGTAATGTGATCATAGCCATAGACCCCTTGAAGATTCTGGCAAGTAGGAACTGATTAGCATCACAGAAATAACACAGCAGCCAGGAAATATATCTTTTTGTTTATTTGATGGTTTCTGCTTTCTCATGGCAACCTCGTTCATAACAAAACTGCTATCCCAGAGCTCACACATGGAAATGTAGAGGCAACAAACCAGCATTTTACAGCTATGTTGGCATGTAGGCACTCCCACTCTGCATATAAATAAACCAAAGATCAGAGGTGTGACCATTAGAAAACGGACTTTCATTTAAGGAGACAGGTAGAGATTAAATCCTTGACCCACACAATTCTACCTTTTGACACAAAGGTTTCATTATATGGCCCCACACTGGCCATTAACTAGCTACGCAGACTAAGATGACCCCAAATTCACAGTCCTCTTGCCTCACCTAAGTGAGGATTTGGATTATGGGTATGTGGTACTAAACGGGATAAGTCATTGAAAAGTCCACTGGTTCAGAATGTTGGGACTGTATTTTCATTCTTATGCTACAAACAGTTTTTTTTTTAAAGGCAAGATCTTGTTAGCCTTGAACTAACTTCTCCTTCTTCTATGTCTCACATACCTATATTAGCTTTGTGCTATGTCCACCTGAAATCAAAGACAAAAAGAAAATTGGCTTTGCTTATCCTAGTATTCTACTTATGTAAACAAACTGTTCCATTAAGCTGGTTGTGTTTTCTTAGAAGCACGCACCCATAATTCATTCCCTCTGTTGATGAGTCACATTCCTCATTATCACGTTCAATCACTGTGCTGCCCTCTTAACACTGAGCGGGCAAAGCTCTTGATGCTCATGAAAACTGGAGGAAGACCCTGTGTTTTCTAGCACATGATGGTCACTTCACAGCCAACTGCCTGATCACTGCAGCATACCCTTCTACCACTCATGTCTAGCTGGATGCCATTTTAAAACAGGCTATGAAGCAAAAACTGTAGACTGGGAGTCTACATAACAAATGGACAAAGCAGAGATTGTCTGATTTTGAAAATAATTGTTTAAAACATGTTTTATTTTGGTTTAATTTATATTCTGTCTGCATCAGAAAGCCATGTAAGAGATCTAGAAATATCTACCTGTAAGCTTAAGTGCATTTATACTGACTGACGTGGCAGCCTTGGCATTCAACCGGCATTACTACTGAATCAAGCACTCTGTATTTTCTGGACTTCCATGTTTCATACACGCAGAAGGTGCTAAAGTCTTTTGAATAACCAATGTGTATCTATGGTTCTTATGTATTGACACAGATGAGACATTTTCTACCTTCATTTTTAAATCAATGGAAAAACAGTATTTATTTTATAACTCTATTATATCTCTTTATTTGGTTACTAGATAGAAAATAGAAATATATTTTTCAAATCATTAATTTACCAAACAAACCTTTAGTCTGACTTAGAGCAGAATTAAAGACTT